GTGGTGTTTTTTTTTTTTTTTTTTTTTGCCTCAACCAATTTTTTCCCTGCCATGTTCGGGATTTTTTGTGAAAGTATCTGGCAACCCTATTTCAGACCTTTATTATGCACAGAAGAAATAACCGAAGAAACATTAAAACCCTTTACATTGAAAAACAAAATGGCTCTTGGCCATTATTTCTGTTTCTGTAAAGCTCTTTGGAGCCGTCCTTTGGTTTTGCATTTGTACAGTGCTTTGTCACGCCTGGGCTTTCTAGTGCTACTGTAATACTGTACAAAGGCTTGGCTTACGTTTACCAACATCTCTGTCAGTTCAAAGTAAAAAAAAAATCACACTGTGACATAGCCATGCTAGGAAAAGCCCCAGTATAGACACAGTAATATTGGCAAGCAAGATCTTTAGCTTATTTCCCACAGGGAATCGGTGTTAAATCAACTTGGCAGAATTCTGGGATTAATCAGAATTCTTGTATCTATCTTTCTATCCATCATTTCATCAAGTAATATAATTTAAAAAGAGATAGAGAATAAGACAGAGAATATCTTATTGCCTCTGTATAAATCCATAGTATAGCCACACCTTGAATACTGCGTACAGATGTGGTCACCTCATCTCAAAATATATATAAAAAAAAACCCCTTGGCATTGCAAAAAGTTCAGAAAAGGGGCAACAGAAATGAGGGGTTTGAAACAAAGGCTGTATGAAGAGAGATTTAAAAGACTGGGACTTTTCAGTTTAGAAAAGAGGAGACTGGGGGATATGATAAGAAGTCTATACAATCATGACTGGTATGGAGTAAGTGAATAAGGAACATATATGTACTTCCCATAACGTAAGAATTAGGAGTCACCAAATGAAATGAGCAGGTTTAAAACAACCAAAAGGAAGTATTTCTTCATGCAATGCTCAGTCAACCTGTGGAACTCCTTGCCAGAGGATGTGGTGAAGGCCAAGACTTTAACAGGGATCAAAATGAGCTAGATAAATCCATGGAGGATAGGTTCATCATTGGCTGTGAGCCAGGATGGATAGCAATGGTGTCCCTAGTCTGGGTGACAGGTGGGATTGCTTGAAGATTCCCTGTTCTGTTCATTCCCTCTGGGAAGGCAGGATTTCTGGGCTAGATGGACCTTTGGTCTAACCCAGCACATGTGGAATAAAGTTTTATGTGCACCAAGGCTTGTGCACGTGCACCACCAGTAGAAACACAAAATCTTCTTGTGGGCGCTCTCTGGGCCAGCCCAAGCCATTTCGGCAGCCCGGGCGCACAGCGCATGCGTGGACCCGCCCCCCAGGGTGTGCGAGCCTGCCCACAGGGCGTACAGTGCATGCACAGGCCGGCCACGGCCACTGGCGCACAGCCCGGGGCCCGCCCCCGGGGCACACGGTGCATGTGCTGCCCAGCCTGGCCTGGCCAGCGCTGCTGGCATGCGCGCTGGGCCGTGCAGGGCCTGCCCCTGGGGCTGGCACTGCGGGGGCAGAGCTCACGGCGCCTGATGGCAGCTACAAGGGACGCCACGCGCCCCTTACAGCTACCATCAGGCGCCTCCCATCGGTTGGCTCCCTGGGTATCTGTCCGGCTCGCCTACCCCTCAGTCCGGCCCTGGGTGCTCTGCTAATCAGCTGAGCGGCATGTGAATCTCTTCAGAGCGGCCGCACAAGCATCCATCTGACAGGTAACACGGCCGTGTACCCCTAAAGGACACAAAGATCTTCCAAGGTTGGGGGGGAGTGGTGTCCATCAGCTCATCTAGGTATTTTCCTAGGTTTACATCAGGCTATACAAAAAGCACTGGGGAAAGTCTGCGCAAATTAGAATTTCATACAATGGTTTTCTATTGCTCTATTGACCGACCATTGGAATGTCAGTGTTGTACGGCAAGGCCGTCCCTTCCCCAAGCCCCTGCCCCGTTTCACTTCCTTTCCCCTTAGCGATGCAGCCCGGGCGAGTACGGAGGGTGCCGGGTGACAGCAGCCGGGGTCACCGCCCCACTGGGGAAAGTCTGCGCAAATTAGAATTTCATACAATGGTTTTCTATTGCTCTATTGACCGACCATTGGAATGTCAGTGTTGTACGGCAAGGCCGTCCCTTCCCCAAGCCCCTGCCCCGTTTCACTTCCTTTCCCCTTAGCGATGCAGCCCGGGCGAGTACGGAGGGTGCCGGGTGACAGCAGCCGGGGTCACCGCCCCATGCAGGTGGTGGGGCCCACCAGCCCACTCCGCCTCACACTCGCCTGGCCAGCTTCTCTGTGGTGACTGGTAGTGGGGTGCCCTGGGGAAGCCGAGCGCAGCAGGCCGGGAGGGTGACAGGGTGGGTTGGAGCAGGCTGCCAGGCCCCCACAACTCCCTGGGTCCCTCTAGAATGGTTGGGGCTCCACCTCCCCCCAAAAGCACGGGGACAGAGGCCCTACGGCGGGGGCAGGGGGCGGCCCTGGACTCCCTGCCAGCAACTGGCGCCCTAGGCAAGCCATGCAATCGGCGCCCCCACCTCCAAACCCCTCAATGATATTGCGCCACCATTTGGCGCCCCAT